GATCTTCTGCTGTTGTAGCCCATCCGCCTCAAGGTTGTGTGTGTTGTGTCTTTGCTGCATACCTCGGTTGTAACGAGTGGTTATTTCAGTCAAAGTTGCTCTTCTATCAGCTTGAATCAGTCGGCCCATTCTCCTCTGACCTCGAGCATCAACAAGGCATTTTGGCCCACAGGACTGACCCATACTGGATGTTTTTCCCTTTTCACTCCATTCTTTGTAAACCCTAGAAATGGTTGTGTGTGAAAATCCCAGTAACTGAGCAGATTGTGAAATACTCAGACACCAACAACCATGCCACGCTCAAAATCGCTTAAATCTCCTTTCTTTTCCATTCTGACATTCAGTTTGGAGTTCAGGAGATTGTCTTGACCAGGACCACACCCCTAAATGCATTGAAGAAACTGCCATGAGATTGGTTGATTAGATAATTGCATTGATGAGAAATCGAAAAGGTATTCTTAATAATCCTTTAGGTGAGTGTAGTTATGTATATATATATATATATATATATATAAATATATTAGTTTCACCTTTTAATTCAAGCGTTCACACACCCGCAGGTTTGACGAATCCCCCGTTTGGTGAAGCACATCCCTCTTTCTGAACATGTTTAAAGGCTTTGATAGGGTGCAGAATCTCAAAGCCCAGCGTTCCTAGTGGAGGAAAGGAAATCAGTGTGAAGAAACACTCATCTATCGTTTCAGGCCCCTGGGAAATACCTTTGGTAAAAATCTACTTCATATTCAAACACAAACGGGGCAATTTGTGCAAATGTCATGTGTAATGGTGGGCAGGGTGGTGTGGACCCCTGAGAAGGCGTCTCATCAGTTTCAGAAGTGGGTCGCCAGAATGATTAGTTGTGTCATTGGATAAGGGCTTTGGTGGAGGGAGTGAACGCATGCACGGCAGTGGCTTCAGACTGAAGCTCGACTGAATAAGGCAGTCATTTCTCAATCAATCATTCCTCAATCAATCATTTCTCAATCATTCATCAATCAAAAATTTCTCAATCAATAATTTCTCAATCATTCCTCAATCAATCATTTCTCTATCAATCATTTCTCAATCAATCCTTTCTCAATCGTTTCTCAATCAATCATTTCTCAATCAATTATTTCTCAATCGTTCCTCAATCAATCATTTCTCAATCAATCATTTCTCAATCATTTCTCAATCATTCCTTAATAAATTATTTCTCAATCAATCATTTCTCAGTCAATCATTCCTCAATCAATAATTGCTCAATCATTCCTCAATCAATCATTTCTCAATCAATCATTTCTCAATCAATCATTTCTCAATCATTCCTCAATCAATCATTTCTCAATCAATCATTCCTCAATCATTCCTCAATCAATCATTCCTCAATCAATCATTTCTCAATCATTTTTTCAATCAATCCTTTCTCAATCAATCATTTCTCAATCAATCCTTTCTCAATCATTCCTCAATCAATAATTTCTCAATCAATAATTTCTCAATCAATCATTTCTCAATCATTCCTCAATCATTCATTTCTCAATCAATCATTTCTCAATCAATCATTCCTCAATCAATCATTTCTCAATCATTCCTCAATCAATCATTTCTCAATCAATCATTTCTCAATCAATCCTTTCTCAATCATTTTTCAATCAATCCTTTCTCAATCAATCATTTCTCAATCAATCCTTTCTCAATCATTCCTCAATCAATAACTTCTCAATCAATAATTTCTCAATCAATCATTTCTCAATCATTCCTCAATCATTCATTTCTCAATCAATCATTTCTCAATCAATCCTTTCTCAATCATTTTTTCAATCAATCCTTTCTCAATCAATCATTTCTCAATCAATCCTTTCTCAATCATTCCTCAATCAATAATTTCTCAATCAATAATTTCTCAATCAATCATTTCTCAATCATTCCTCAATCATTTTTTCAATCAATCCCTTCTCAATCAATCCTTTCTCAATCATTCCTCAATCAATCATTTCTCAATCAATCATTTCTCAATTATTCCTCAATCAATCATTTCTCAATCAATCATTTCTCAATTATTCCTCAATCAATTATCTCTCAATCAATCCTTTCTCACTCATTTCTCAATCAATCATTTCTCAATCAATCCTTTCTCACTCATTTCTCAATCAATCATTTCTCAATCAAAGAAGGTGGTGAAGTGCACCAAAGACACAGGCATGTTTAGCGGGATCCGTGTGCCAGTGGGGGTGACGTATATCAAACACGTCGAAAGAGTTGTAGTCCACAAAGTGCTCTCACACAAAGTCTAACCGTATGAAAATTCTACCCGCTAAATTGTAGCATTATTTACACGAAAAATTATCAAAAAAATTCACAGACAACACATGTTCACATTCATTGCAAAATTCAAACGGGATTAGAAATTTTTTTTTTTCTCTCATTCACTTGCATTGATGGTTTTTCAATCTATAGGTCCAGCGGGGTTAGCGGAAGGGGCGGGACTTACCAGCTCTATACTTAAGCGAGCGCTGATCGAGCGAAACAGGCATTATGTTTATAAATAAATTGCATATTTGAGGTCTAAATGACTACATTCTCGCCGTGACACAATAACAGTAGTATTTGTAAAATTATCGATGCGCATCCACCATTGATGTCACTGTGAGCGTATCGTCCCCCTCCTTCCCCAGCACCACCTGCCTAGATCATGTGCAAAACACTCGTTTTAAATGAAAACTTGTGGCCAATTTATTATCCTTTTTTAACTAGTGAGGACCAGTATGTATTGTACACACATGCACACACAACAATAATGTAGTTCAGTGTCGAATAAGAATGGATGTGTGTGTGTTTAGAGACAGAGAGATGGAGAGATACACTGGTCCTGTTTGTCCGCTGGTTGTGCCTCGGCTCGTTTGCTTTAATTAATGCAAAATGCAAGAGCTTACCTGTCTTTAAACATCCCTGTGGTGAACTTAATGAGTTTTGTTCGATGATGTGGAAGAACTGAAGTGCAGGGATGCAAACTTGTCACCTTTCGGCAACAAATCGACGTTATAGGTCATAGAGTCAGTGGAGGAGACTGAATATTTACTTAATATTAATTAAAAAAGCTCTTCACAAATGTCAGCTTTCTTTTTAAATACATCATCAAGACCAAAACAGCATTAATGCTTCAAGTAGCTCCGGTGACGTAATTGCAGTGTTGTTTCTCTGAACGGTGCTGGAGTTTTGTCCGGTGCATGTGATTGAATGATTCAGATTGCAAAGTTTATGGTTCATATAAATGGAGGAGTTTGCGATACAGATCTCAACTTCAACGTCTCACATTGTATTTTCATAATGCGTTATGCACTGTAAAACTGAATATGCTTTTTCTAGTCAATAAAATTGTGATTTCTGATTTTTTTGTGATTTTATTGTGATTTCTAGTCAATTTTGTGAAAATTGTGAACAGATTACAAGCAATATTATCAATTAAACTGAACAAATTAGAATTGGGTAATAATTAATCAAATTATTCCTTAAAAGCTAACCATTTAAAATGAGTAAAGTTTGCACCAAAAAATTAAACAAAAATATCTGAATAACAGACAGACTCAAAGATTAATTAATAACTCTTTATTTTATATTGCCAACATTGAAGACTCCTGATGTTAACTAACAGAATCACTGAAGGAGAAACCTAAAACAAACACTGATCACCATAATGGTGACTTAAATGTACGTTTTTTTATATTTTTTAAAGTTTTTCTCATTTTAAATGGTTAAATGGCATGGTCCCATGCATCGATGCTCATCATGACTCGTTCCTTTCACAGAGACTAGCGTATTGAGACCCATGCTGACGGATAACAGTGACGAGTGTCAGAATACGTCTCACACACACGTCAGATGTCTGAAGAGATGCTCTCGGCACACTCGCTCCAACATCGGGTCATCCTGGGGGATTTATTCAGACGCGTCCCGTCCCATTCATTACAAAACCAATGTGCGGCGCTTAATTACGTTCATTCATAATTGATATCATATCTCAATATTATTTAGTCAGGGACAGAAATATATGGAGATTTTTTGGGATTGGGTATTTCACATGATTCATTCATGTAATTTCTCATGGTGGTATAAATATTTAATATTTGTCCAGAGGAGGGATTGAGCTGGATAAAATGGGTTTTAGCCTTCATATTTTCTTATTTGCATAAAAGGGTGAGTGATGATCATAAGTAATGGAGTGAATGTTCATTTAGGCCTTGTTTAATGATATCAAGGGTTGTTGCGATCCCGTTATGTCACGATTCAATATTATCACGATACTCCAAGACATATGATAAAAAGGTACAACAGAACAGAAACACTTGTAATGTATGACAAGTAGGGCTGTGCAATATGAACAAAATAATCACATTGCGATTTTTTTATGAATATTGCAATTGCGATTTTATTTGCGATTTTGGCAATTGTTTTTGCTTTTTCAAACATGTTACATTCTAAATGTATTCAGTGCACAAGAAGTGCATAACAAAACATTTCACAATGAAATAACATTAGTATTAACAGTTTGATAAACAAAACTGTAATATTTAAAACAGAACACAAAACAAATTAATGTTAACTAACCTAAATTCCAGTCATAAAAATAAAGTTAAATAAATAAAATATTTTTCAGTGCACACATTTCACAATGAAAAAACATACTGTGTACAGTAGTATTAACTGCTTAAAGGGTTAGTTCACCCAAAAATGAAAATTCTGTCAGTATTTACTCACCCTCATGTTGTTCCAAACCTCTATGTGTTTATTTGTTCTGTTATACACAAAGGAAGATATTTGGAAGAATGGTTTAATCAAACAGATTTCAATCCCCATTGACTATCATAGTATGTATTTTGATAGTCTATTCCATAGTATGTATTTACTATGGTAGTCAATGGGGAATGAAATCTGTTTGATTAAAACATACTTCTAAAAATCTTCCTTTTTGTTCAGCAGAACAAATAAAAACATAGAGATTTGGAACAACATGAGGGTGAGTAAATAATGACAGAATTTTCATTTTTGGGTGAACTAACCCTTTAACAAACAAAATTGTCATAAATTGTGTCAGACAACAGACAATTAAGATTAACTAACCTAAACTTCTGTCATAACAATAAATACGAACTAACAGAATTCAAAGCCAAAACCTCTTAAAGGTTTTTTGCAAGGAAAACCAGCATGTCTACCATTTCTGGTTTTAAGCATGAACGGTGACATGTCACCACATTTCCCCCAGTACTAAACACTCTCTCTGAAGGTGAGCTGGTGGCAGGAATACAAAGATACTTTTGTGCAACCCTGCTCATTCTTGGGAAATTTATCTGATGGAGTCTCCACCATTTCAAAGGATCTTCCTCACTGTCAATGGATGGAGAAAGCAGGTAGCTATTTAGCTCAGAGGCAATGGCTTCTTCAAGTTGCAGAGCTGCTGGCATGGCTGATGTCGTTTTAAAGAAGCTTCCCAAGGACTTCCTTGCTTTTTTGCCTGGTGGAGGTAGATCGATGTCAGGATTCTCTCTGCTTGTGCTACTCCCAGGTTCATATGTATCCTTTGACATACAGAGCAGAAATAATATTACAGGTAAATAATAAAAAGTCATAGAAAGAGTGTTTATCTTAAGAGATGACAGTTGTATCCAGTTTACATAAATTAACTCACCTTGTGGGAACTCATATCCATATCAGACATGACCCTGGCCTTAATGTTTGGAAGTTTGTCCTCATCAGTGTAGTTGGTTTTGAATCTTGGATCCAAAAATGTTGCTATGTCCAGAAGCTCTTGGGTAGTTTCATCCTCATAATGTTTGTTGATGTAGTTAAGAATTTTTGATTTTATAGTCTTTGTCAGGTCAGTATCTTCATCCTTCACTGCAAGTATCTTGGTGTTCAACAGATGAAGAACTGGTTTCACGTAGGATACACTGATGTAGTTTTCACTGGAAAGGGCATCCGTGAACTCCTGAAGTGGACCCAGTGCCTTACTCACAGATTCTAGAACATCTGTGTCTTGCCACTGTGGTACTAGGTGTCTTGTTTTACGGTCAGCTGAAAGGACCTGAGACAATGCCTTCTGTTGCTCCAAAACCCTGTCTATCATTTGTTGCATTGAGCCCCATCTTGTCGGGCATGATGTAATGAGGGCATGTTGGGGAAGCTGAAGTTCTTCCTGGGCTTCGGCTAACATCATCTTTTTTTTCCAACTGTGGGAAAAATGTCCCACAATCTTTTTGCATAAGCCGTTGGCTCTGGAAATGCGTTCATCCTTGATTGCATTTTCTAAAAAGAAATAATTGCAAAACATGATGAAAATGTGTAATATTGTAAGTATTGCATGCATTTAAATATAACAATTGGGTAATACTTTACAATAAGGTGCTATTTGTCAACAATTAGTTAAAAGTGCAATGTGTATTATTTCTGAGGATCTGTTGACAGAAATGCAATATAAGATCCATAACTATGTTTTCAGTGGTGTATAAAGACCTTACTTAATGAACCGTTATGTTTTTATTACCTTAGAATGAGTCATTTATATCTACATAAGCGCGGGCCACCCTTAAATGAAGGTCGACATATTGTGACGTCATGTTTGTACCGTAGCTGACAACGAACACACAGCACTACAGAGTTTGCTATGTGGGGAGATATGTGCTGCTGGTTACGTCGGCCACTGTAGCTTCTCCTTAGATTTTGAGATGGGAGGGATAGGCCGTAAGTGGCTTTCTTTTTGCAATTCGTGAATCTCATAGATGCTGCTAAATATCACACACTGCACCTTTAATGCATTAGCTAAAATGAACTAACAATGAACAATATTAATACAGCATTTATTAATGTTAATTCATGTTAATTTTAGGATTTACTTATACATTATTAAAATCAAACGTTGTCACTGTTAGTTAATGCACCATGAACTAACATGAATAACTAGTGAATTTGTATTTCATGTATTAGTATGCTAAAAATGAACATGAACTATAACCTTAATAAATGCTGTACTAGTTGTTACATACTATTGGCACGAACTAATAACATTAACAATAATTAATAAATGCTGAAAAAATAAATTGTTCATTGTTTGCTAATGTATTTAATTACAACTGTTAACAAATATCACCTTTTGTAAAGTTTTCCTAACTAATGACAAGTAAAAAATACTAAAGTACATAATACATTTTTATATTAAACATCATTGCACAATTTGTTTCTTAATAAAAAAATACGCCCTACAAAGTGTCCTAATATTCTTAATATGTAAAGTATAAATATATGTACAATAAACACTAACTTACCAATTGCCAAATGTAGTCTGTGCCCGAAGCACTGCAGTCGTGTCCAGTTGTTCAAAGTGACAGCCTTCACTATATTGGATCCATTGTCTGTGGTGATAGACACTTGTTGATCTTCACAAAGTCCCCATGATGCTAAAGCTTCTTTTAAACCTTGAGCGATATTTTCTCCAGTGTGATTTTCTGGAAAATATGCTGTTTGCAAGCATCGACTTTTTATTTCATAGTTGTCATCGATATAATGGACCGTTAAACTCATGTACGGCTCCATCGTTCTGCTGGACCACATATCTGTGGTCGTGGCGTAGAATTTCACCTTTTTAAGCTCGTATTCAACGCCCGCCTTACATTTCTCATACATTTCGGGAATCGCAACCCGTGTGAAATGAGTGCGAGACGGCAGCTGGTATCTTTTGTCCAGTGTTTGAATTAGTCTTCGGAAGCCGTCTTTACTGACGATGTACGCAGGCACCATGTCTTTGCATATATGATTTGTGATTGCGTCTGTGATTTCTTTGTGCCGTTTTGATCCTTTCTCATAAGGCGTGACGCTTGCAAATGCTTGAACGATGGATACTTGTTCAGATGGCTGGCTTTGAGGTGTGCTTTTGTCAGTTTCGCTGGACTTTGTCGACATGCATTGATCATGGAGCTTTTTATGGCGCTGTTTTAAGTGTTGAAACAGGTTTGTAGTATTGCCCCGTTTCGTCGCAATAATCGTTTCACAAGTCTTGCAAATTACCTTGCTCTGTGTCACATCCTCTCTCCTGAATCCAAAATACTCCAAACGATTGATGTTGAATTTCTCTTTGGCACCAAATCATTTTTTATTCTGACCCACATCCATATTTTACATTCTTTTCTCCCGCTCGCCTCTGTTCTCCCGCTCACCTATTCTGTTCTCCCGCTCAGTTCAATTGTAATTTGAGCGGTGCGCTGAGTGGGCTCTGATTGGTTAACATCTTGCGCACAAGAACGTAAATAGAAATTAATTAATAAAATCGCAGCCTTATGCGGTTTAGAAATCGCATGTGCTCAAATCGCGATTGTTTTGCGATTGCGATTAATTGCACAGCCCTAATGACAAGTAATGTAAACATGACGCAACAGGTCCCTCGCATAAATGTAATTTCGCTTGTACGTAGCAAACTTTATCACAGAATGTGTATGTAGTTAAAAAAAATTGCGCCAACGTTAGTGTTTGTGTGCGTGTGTGTGTGTGTGTTGCACATCCATAATTTCAAAGGGGACGCGATTACAACTGTATAAGTACATAAATGTATCAAATAACCATACCGAGATGTACTGGTCCATTCCCATTTGTGTTTATTCGTCCGAAGTCTCTTCGTCTTCTGGGTCTGATCAGAGACTATTTATTTATTCCGATTCAAACATGTACGCTGAATGACATTCAAAACAGCGGGTCTCTCACTCTCTCAGTACCGACTGCCATAGGCATCAAGTTACGCCCTCATCCAAAGGCAGGGCGGGGATATGCAGCTCATTTGCATTTAAGGTGGTATACACCAAAACAGCTCATTTTTAAACAGACCCCAAAAATGACTTTTTCAAATGGTTATAATAAATTAACTATGGGGTATTTTGAGCTGAATCTTCACAAATACATTCTGGGGACACTCGAGACCAATATTACATCTTGTAAAAAGGGGCATAATAGGTGCCCTTTAAACCTGACCATACCACCACACCTGTCCCTAACTTTACCCCTATCCAGCTCAATAACAGCTTTATGGAACACAATAAGTACCTCACAATTATTATTTTAGGTGCTTATTTTTATGTATGACTACACATGATTATATGAACATTAAATTCAAGCGAGTAGCTCAATGCTCGATAATGATCGACTTGTTTAGTGATGTTGCCTATGGATGTTTTCCTGGATAAAGTGCACATCTGAGGGGATCGGGAGCGCTTCACTTCTGTGATTCTGGAGTGTGAAATAAATGGACACGGTCTATTAGCTGAAGATAAATCGCTCTCTGCTGTCGAGAGAATATCCTGAGGTGCAGACAGCCATCCGAGACGACGGCGAGCCTCAAAACTGTCTCGGGTCCTCCTTAGTCTCTTTCTTCTCAGGCACTGAATAATGACAGCGCTTCTGCTGAAAACTGGCACGATTATGACTTGAAATATGACAGATTAATGTCATTAGGCATTTTTCAACACAAAATCTGAACAAAATCTTTAGTCAAAATTCACTTTTTTATGTATTATCTCAAGGATAATAGACTTTTATTATAATACATGCTACTCAAACATGCCTGTGGTGAAATCATCTACAAAATGACGGTAATGTCCAGTGATTGGTGCTAAAAGCGTGATCAGTTTTATCCGAAACAAATACACGTGAATCCGTTTTTTTTTTACAATGCGTGAATTAACTGAAACATCCATGCCATTTTAGCTGCTTCTGCAAGTCTTTGAACTCTTTTATTGTGTTTTTTTATTTTATTTTATTTGTTACCCGAGTGCTTTACATCACAAGTGCAGTGCCGACACAAAATGCTTTTTGAAGTATTTATCCAAAGATATAAGTCCCCTGTAGTCAATCATGTAATCCCTTAAAACTCATATTTGATCACCAGAATGATATATTTAAATGTTTTTCTTTGAAAAATCCTTGAAATATTTTTAATGTAACTCGACACCCTTGCCTGGTTCTATGAATATTCAAATAAGCCCCGCCCCCACTCACTCACTCAAATCCACTGGTTGACAATCACACCATGATCTGATTGTTACAAGGTCGTTTGTGACGTCACAAACACCAGCAATTTCAAAGTGTGTTTTTGAGACTGTCTTTGGTTCAAAATACTCATATACTTACACATGCTTTGTCTTATTAAAAACACCTCATAGACACATAAACAACATTTTTTAAGTAAACCAGATTTTTTTGTAGTATAAAAAGACGTTTATGTAAGGTGAAGTTGCAGCAAGACTGTTTTGTATGTCCAGGTTGTATTTGAAAGGTGTGTGTGAGACGCAGACGGCCACACACACCGCTGGGTTTACGGGACGGCTTACGGACCCTCACGCTGAGAGACACACTGACTCACTCTCTAATCCAGGGTTATTTCACTCTGAGGTGTGTGTGAACAGAGGCGAACTCGCAGACTTTACAGTTCTCATCGCTGTGAAGAGTATGAATGCAAACGCTTCTGGATACGCGAGCTCAGCGTCATGTGGCGTCGCGTTTCATAATGCAGAGCTGGATTCTCAGTGTCCATTAAAGAGGCATCACAGCTCACCTTGGTACACTTTAGCATACTTTTAAAAAGAGAACTTCTGGAAAAAGCTACTTTAAAAGAATATACTGTGATTGGAGACTTAACTGCTGTCATTTACAATTAAATGAACATGTACAATAGTTTAAATGCATGTTAAATGCAAATGCTTAAGTGCATCTTTATATGTGATTTCATAATTGTGTTGTCATAGAAATATAGTTAATGTACAGACAAGTGTTTATGGTAAACTAAAATATAAAAATATAAAATAAGAACCTTGTATTTAAATATATTTATAGTAATCATTTGTAATAAAGTTGCAATTTAGTTCATTTAAAATATATTAGCTTAAATATAATAACAAATACCACACAACAGTTAAAATTGGAATAAAGTACTTCACATGTGCTTTAATACGTTAGTCTAAACATAAATATGTTTGTTGTGCATTTAAAATACACCAATTTATGTTTAGACTAACATTTACAAAGTGTAATATTACAAAGTTGTAATAACTCACAGTGTGTTCAGAAACTGTCATGGAAAGTTTACTCTAAGCACTCATATTATATTATATTACAATATATTATATTATATTATATTATATTATATTACAATATATTATATTATATTATATTATGCAACACTTTACTTGAAGGGGTGTGCCTAAGACTGACATGAGCCCTTCATAAATCATAACACGACATGTCATGAATATGAAGGAGGTTTTATGCATGTTTATGACGACTGTCATAAAGCCATTATAACATTTTTACGAAATCAATGTGTACCACTGTAGTTGAGATGAAGAAAAATATTCACTATGTGCACTATGTGCTTTCTTAAGTTTGATCATTAATATGTCATGTTTATGACAGGTTGTGTTGTCGTAGTAATGTCAAGTTGTCATGACAAAGACACTGACAGGTTATGATGTATTGGTTTATGTCAAGGTGTCATGGCAAAGACATCTCAAACAATGTCATATTTGCATTCAAAATGTCATAATTGAGCGAATTGAGTCACATGATATTTACGGCTCATGAGATTGGCCAAACAAATCCAGGTGACAAATAGAGAAGCCCGGGTGTGTTAGAACTTGGTTTTGTTCCCATAAAAGCTCCATATTCACATTTCTCTGTGTGTGATAACTGATATTTATAGCTGTTTCAGTGCTAGTGTGTTCGGCTCGTGCTTCAAGAGCTTCTGTGCGTTTCCCTCCACGCTGTTTGCTTTAATGATTCCTCTCTGGAAAAAGCGAACTCTGTGCCGTCGGCAGCATTTGTTGTGACAGACCACAACAAGAAGAGCAGAAAATACGGGACACGTCTGTCCGTCTGACTTCGATAAGTCCTCTATAGTCACATTGCGCTGTGTGAGGATGGAAAGGACGCTCTTACCTTTAGAAAATAGATTGGACACAAAATCAGACACAAAATCAGCTTATAAATGTGACATTTCTCATGTCGGCAATAAACGGCTATTTAAAGGGATAGTTCACTTTGAAATTCATTTTTGATATGTTTTATCTTACCTCAAGGGCATCCAAGATGTAGGTGTCTTTGTTTCCACAGTATTTTCAATTTTGACATTTTTCAGTCAAACCGTTGTTGTCTATCAGTCATACACTGGAGGCTAAGGGGGTCCACCAAAGAGCAGCACAGAGAAGTCCAAATTAAACATGATTTAATGACTCCTTAATGTAAGAACACATTGATGGCCTAAGACACGAAACGAGCGATTTGTGTGAGAAAACCAACAGTATTTATATCGTTTTTACCTCGTGTAATCACAGTGATCTGAATCAGTTGTTCAATGTCCAACTGAACCGAACTGAATCAGTTCAATGTTACGCCGGAAGTGATCGCTCGCGTGTGACGTCACTCAATATTTACACGGAGATTTCGGAAGTTTTACCTTTCACTAAACATATTTAGTAGGGCTGTGCAAAAATTAATTGCGATTAATCGCTTCCAAAATAAAAGTCTGTGTTTACATAATATATTTGTGTGTGCTGTATATAATTATGTTGTATATATGCATATATTTAAGAATTATTTGCGCTTAAATTCTGTATATATATAAATACATAATCTATATTAAATAAATATAAATATTTTATATACGAATAACACATTTTCTTAAATATATACATGCATGTGTGTGTGTATTTATATATACAAAATAATTATATACAGCACACACAAATATATTATGTAAACACAGACTTTTATTTTGGATGCGATTAATCGCAATTAATTTTTGCACAGCCCTAATATTTAGATATACCGAAATCGTCTTCCATTGCGGTTTCCCGTATATCTAAATATGTTTAGTGAAAGGTAAAACTTCGGAAATCTCTGTATAAACAAAGAGTGACGTCGGCGCGCAAGCGATCACTTCCAGACCGAAGCGCCCGTGCCGTCAGTGGCTGTGATTACAGGAAGTAAAAACGATATAAATACTGTTGGTTTTCTAAAAAAAAAACGCTCGTTTCGTGTCTTAGGCCATCAATGTGTT